AGGACCTCGTGATGAGGTGCAGTGTTATAGTAGTGCCTTTTTAGTAACCTCACCCACTCCCTTCTGCTGGCTGAGCAGACTGAGCAAGGGAGATGCTCTCAGGAGCAATTGTTTCCTTTCCAGGATTCTCAAAAACAGCTGCTGAAGTAACTGATAGGTTATTTATCCTGCCAAATTAAACCTAATGCTTTAACTTGGGGAACAGAGTCGCTGTGAACTGTCAGGGTGTGCTGGGTAACACAGGATTTCTGAGGAATCAGCAGAATTTGTTGCCACCTTCACCCCACTTACATCTGCTTTGAACTCACAGCAAAGCACATTTACTTAATGCTTGAGTGAAAATTATCTAGCAAAGATTGCAAAGTGCAAAGCTCTTTCATGATCTTTTCTTTTAACCCTGCTTTCCTTTAGACATCTCAAACAGCAGGAACTTTTATGCACGTCTGAGATTTGTTATAATAGCAACCAGTGCTGCCAGGGGGAGTCAGGCCTTACAGTGCTAAAAGTGGAGCAGATATGCAGTGAGAGTCTTACCCTCCACCAGAAAGGTTAAGAAAAAAGATGCAACATGACAGCAGACCAAGGTAGGGCTGGGAAGGAGAACTTGCTCAGACAAAATATGTGCTTTCTGCTTGTTTGACTTCATTTGCAGACTTCACAATCTGTATTATCCACGATATGGATAATTGGAAAACAGCACCAGGGTGTAAGCAAATTAAGTTTTTTAACCTCAGAATAAAATTGCCAGGATGGCATAAGTGTTTATTAGACATGTGCAGCAATAAGAAAGGTAATTATTTCATTTACCTATTAATTCAGTGGCTGTGGCAAGCACAGTACTCGCTGAAGCGAGTGTGAAATCAAGGAGTTGATGTTTGCACTGATCCTACTGTGGATGGCTTATTTCTATGTTGGCCAGGCATTTCTTAAAATATGGTTGTTTTCGGTTCCTTGTAACCTCATTAAATGTTTGCCGTTCATGTGTACGTTAGCAGGCAGGGTTCTGTGAAAATAACAGCAAGCGATCATGTAACCAAATACCTAATCTATGTTTGCTTAGCCTGATATGTCATCAAATTCTTCCCAAGTATGTTAATGTACAGCTCAAATGCTAACTAGGGTCTCAGATCTGGTCTGAAGCTTGCCTGGGAAGTTGGGCCAGGGATCTAGGCTGGGGTCCTGGCACACAGCTGTCACTGTACGTGCATTAAAATTAGTTAGGACTCTTGTATGTGGAGATTGTTGACTGCTCTGAAAGATTTTGTGTATATTTCTGCTTATTGGAGGGTTATTGTTATCCCTTCTGGCAT